AGTAGGTTTGAAGCTATTCGTTTTTCCACAATTCCATAGAACCTGAGTTGTTGAAGAATTAACACAAGCAATCTACTCAAATTGGACAAAGTATCTTTTATGAAATGTCATTCCAATCGACCATACACTTTTTTCAGATCAATCTTAATTACCATTCAGCCTTTCTGTCTTTGCTTCCTTTTTATCGAATGGATTACCTTCTAGGAACTAACAATGTTATTTGAGATACTCTACCCTGGCACAAAACTCGTTTGGTTATCCATAATCCACTTAGGAAGCAGAGGCTTTAACCGAGAAACAATAACCTTCGTAATTGCTTTAAAAAGAACAGTGCATAAGCCCATGGGATGGAACTGAGTGAAATTTTAAGGAACCATCACCTTAGGAATAAAGACAAATAGAGTACGATTGATATCCGCAGGGACCACACAATTTCTGAAACAATTCCGCACAAAATTACACACATTGGATCCAATGATTTTCCAATTTTTGAAAAAGAAAATGTGAAAACCATCGATACCCGGCGCTTTTGAAGATTGCATATCAAAAATGCATTTTTAATCTCTTCATCAATAACTTTATGCGAGAAAACCCCTAAAATCTCCCTTGAAAACTTAAAAAATTGGTCCCTCGTACTACAATTGTAACCCACTATTCCATTGGAAATGAATAAGATCTGAAAGAAGTCCACAGCCCCCTGTCTAAGTTGAGATTGATCCAAGCACCAATGGTCATCCGCTAATTTTAAAGAGAATATAGTAGTCTTCCATCTTTGGGTTTTTGCGCAAACATGATAAAATTTAGTATTACGATGGCCATCGAGAATCCAGTCACACTGGGACTTTTAACGTCGAAGGCTCTTTTCTTGATCCAACCCCAAATCTAGTTCCAACTTCAAAACTTTTTCAAGCTCTGACAAAACTTTTTTCAAGCTAATAATGTCACCAGAGTATTGCAAGGATATGAAATTCATAGGCTCAGAACTCATAATATTATTTTTTTCACTTTGAAAATCATAAGAGCACCATTGAAGGTTATTTGACAAAATCGAGGTTAAATTATAATTAAGAATTTACCAAACATGAACAATAAAGCATGATTTTAAAAAATATGAGAATAATTAGACGCACATATACTTCACAGTTCACATTCAGTGAACACATGCCAATTCTTTTAGTTTTTTTCCTTCTAATTATATATATATATATATATATATATATGACTACAAATAAAGCGCGATTTTGAATCATAAGGGACAATGGTGAAATGTAAAACAACATAAATAATATACTTGTTCTTTACAGACTCTATTGATGAAATGAAGGGAACGATTGATTCAAAAATCAAGGGAATGGTTTGAAAACTTCACACGCACATCATTGATTTTTATTTCTAATGTAAGCTTATCTGAGGTTGAAATGGATGTTGTTTAGGGTATTGGTTAGTCATATTTTGGAACTTGAAAGGGAAAACCGATCACCGGCCATCGGAACCCAAAAGAGTGAGCTGAGCAGTAAGTAATCCAACAATTACAAACTAGCAACATAAGCTTGAGCTTGATTTTGAAATTTGGTGGAAATGGCAAATAAGTGTGGGGTGTCGAGTACTCGTGAGGTTTGGGTGTTAAGGTGTGAGAATGAGAAGATAACTTTTTGAAAATTAGATTAAAATTTTAATTTCACTAAATTTCCAGGATAGCAAGCTGGAATCATTGGGTAAATATTTTTAAAGGTCCATTTTTTTAGATTTTTAGATAATTTGAAACTAAAATTTTATCGATCTGTATCCGATCTGATTATCTGATTTTTTTGGATAATGGATCAAAATTATTTGAAAAATATAAAAGAGATCGAATATCCAAAATTTTGGATCGAATCAATAGATTGGATCGAATTTTTTTACACATCCCTAGCCACCAAATGAGAGTGACATCAGCCAAATAATTAGAAGCATCATTTACCTTCGTGGTGTCATCATGATACCCATGCCCCAAAATAACTGCTACATGCTCCAAATGAAGTTCTAAACTTTATGCGCTGATTGTGTCCCCTTGAACTCTTTCAACTTCGGAACATCGATCTTGGGTTTTGTTGTTGGTGCTTCTCCTAGCATCTTATTCATCACGACAATCTTGTAAACAAGCAGTTTGCTCCTGAGCTTCTTCATTTCCCTCATCAACTCTGCCCTCATAGCCAAGAACGTACTCACAAGACTATCGGTTTACTCATTCAACTTTTTATTCATCTCGTTGATGAGTTCTTGAGTCTCTTCCTTAAGTCTCTTCTCATAGGACTCCATCTTCTAGAAGCATGGTTCCATCCCCTCCTGGGCCTCCTTGACTTCATCCATTTCCTTCCTTAGACCCAACATCTCAACTCTAATAATATCATACTATTGTTTCGTCTTATCAGCGTACTCATCAGGGAGCTCTTGCACAGCTTCCTTGATCGAGTTGTCAGCATCCTCTAGTTTGTTGAGTCTTTTCTCTATGAACGCAATGACGTCTTCGACTTCCCTCACTTCTTCTCCATAGCAACATGGGTCTTGACCCTTCGGTAACAATTAAGACCTCGTCTTGATTTTGTGGTGCTATCTTTCCAAAACAAATAGCTTGAAACACTCGTTCTCGCTGTAACAAACTCGCTCTAATATCACTTGTAATGTCCTTGGAGCCTTAAAATAGGGAGCTTGCAGCTTTATATGCCTCCAAAAATTTCTTAAACGGTTTGACACCTAATTAAGCCTGAAAACACTAAACAAGAAAGTCTAGTTCCACTCAGAAGCAAAAGAACTTATAAAAGAGATGGTTCACAAAGAACAAGAAATAAAGAGAATTGAGTGAATGCTCCGTGCATTCCTTAAAAGTGAAGTGATACAAATGAGTTGGGATGTCTCCATTTATAGTTGAATCCTAATACTATGGACGATTAAGATCAAAATAAATCAATGACTAAGATTAGCCCTATTAAATAAAAATCTTCTAATCTAAGAAAAGTTAATCAAATCATCATGTAATTATATCAATTAGTCTCATTCTTTACTTTGATTGAAGAACTCGGATATGAAAATATTCTTCCATGATCCACTTTGATATGATATTTCTTGATTTTTTGCAAGGCCAAAATGAAAGTTTTATGATTTGGATAATCCCAACATGCCACATAGAATGTCTGTTACGTTCTTTAGCGCACATGTTTTGGACTAAAACTCGCGGGGCATGACAATTACATAAACCCATCACCTCCACCTTTTGAACATGATAACTATTAATCTTATTAAGAAAATTCTTTGTAAGGAACACTGATGAAAGTTTTTGGAGTCCTTTCTTGAGAGCAAAATGAAAAATAAAACGAAAACCAACCTTGTAAAGGCTGGTGAAATAGAATGCCAAAGGATAGGCCTTTCTTGAGCAACATGATTTACGAAAGCATTAGGACCACATCTTCACAAGGGAAGATCCAAGTCTAAAAAAAAATCGAACTTGATTATGTTATTTATTGATAAAGAATTGCAATTTTGGTCGAGTGTTCCCATGAAATTGTAAACATTGCTCACAAATACAGTTGAGTTTAAAGGACGTTAAATGTTCTCCAAACTAAACGAAGACGATTTTAAAAACTAGAGTACAAAATTTTACCCCCAGTTTTCAATTGGAATTTGCCTGAGCTTCGTATCTATGATAATTACTTTGTACCAGTGAAAAGTTCTAGTTTATTTTTCATGTGGTCATCTTCAGCTTCCTTGTCCTCCTTTTTACAAGAGCTCCCTAAATAATTAGGGGTGAGCGTTTGATCTAGTCGAGTAAAAAAATTTCGAGTTATTCGAGTGACGAGTCCTATTTTACAATTCGGAGTTGACTTGACATTTTTTCTAGTTGAATCGAGTTTATAAAATTCGAGTCGAGTCAAGTAGAATCGATTTTTTGAGTTTTTATTTAAATTTAATTGTGAATACTTATAATATTATAATATTATTTGATTTCAATTTAAGTGAGTTTCTATAACCATATATACAATACAAATATGTTTCTACAATTTTTTTCATATATGATATGCATATATCATACAAAGTCCAATGACTCGACTCAAACTTAAAAATAAATCCACTAATTATTAAAAAAATTTGAATTACTCGAGTTATTCGAGTTGCATTTTACAACTCGATTTGAACTTGAAATTTTTTCAAGTCGAGTCAAGTTTATGAAATTGTAACTCGAAGAGACGAGTTTTTCGAGTCAAATCGAGTCGAAAAAATCGGTTTTTCGCATTGAGTCGAGTTTTGCTCAAACCGAAAGATCAAACAATGAGTAAAACTAGCACATTAATCCCCAATTGCCTTACCCATAGCCTTTTAGTAACAGGCACTGATACCCTTACCCAAGCCTCACATTTACAAACATTGATTTCAAATATCACTTTAATCTCATATACTTTTTCTTGTTTATATCGGACCACAAGTAGCAAACTGCTCGCCAGTTGGTCGAAATCAGATTTCGATGAATAACGAAATCAAATTACATTTACTTAAATTGTGTTTTTTTATTATTTTAATTAATATACTTTTTTAACAATAATTAATATACTTTTAAGAACTATAAAATAATAATTTAAATTATCAGAAAAATACATTTTGATAATTCTCTTCTTATTTGTCTGAAAAGAATGACGTGATATTTGAATTGAATAGTTAATATTTCATTTAACCTCTCAATTATAGTTAGACATTCTTATATTTTTCAATGTTTTCATTTAATAATTTCAAATTTTTAAAAAATCACATTTTTTAATATATTTTATTAAAATTAGAATTATATAAAATTTTGTACAAATCATCTAGTTTTTTAAATTTTTAAAATTCACCCCAAAAATCTAAATGACAATAAGATCAACTGTTACAATCCAATCAAATAATATAAAATGCAAACCAAATAATATTAACAAATGCTTAATTAAGCCCAAACCTGGCCATATTAAGCTGAACATGATGCAACTTCCAGTTATTCAGATTCTCGCTGATGGTAAATGGAAAGCCATTTTAAATAAATACATTACAGTAGCACCTTCCAAATTTGAAGAAGATGCCAAGATTTAGAATTTGATTACTTGTTTTGGTTGACTCCCATGTTTCCCTATTGCCTTCTCCAATGCAGTGCCAAAATTGTCAAATGGAACCAACTCCATCCTATCGGGAAAAAAGGTGCACAAATCAGTTTAACATACCAAATAATCGAATAACATACCGGAAAGCAAGATCGAGTTAGGGGTGTAAAAAGTTGACCCGACCTGTAAAACTGACTGAAACTGACTCGAGTTAAAACTATTTTTGACCTGTGTTGTGACGATCCGAAATCAACTTGAGTCGGAACTGGTGTTGACCTGAACCCGAGTTGGACCTGTAAATTGTAGATCTGAACCCGACCTGCATCCGACCTGAACCCGAATTGAACCGAAAATATGATACCCGAACCCGAACTGCATCCGACTGATATGAACCCGAACTCGAGATTGACCTGGTAAATAACTGGTATTACCCGACCTGTTTTCAACTTGACTTGTTATGAACCTGACCTGTAATTGACTCAACCTGTGAATGATCCGACATGTTGTTAAGTGATATAATATTATCCTGACTTATAAGTGAAGTTACAATTAATATAATTATATTATTTTAAATTTATAATAAACTTATGATAATTAAATTATTATGATAATTAAATTAATATGATTACTTTTTGAAATTTTATCATAAATTATTATGATAATCAAAATAATATGATTACTTTTTTGAAATTTAATTTTATATTATTTATAATTTAAATATTATAAATTTAATTTTTATGTTAATTCCAATTCATAAATTTCTTTATATTTCTTATATTATAAATTTTATTTAAAATCACTAAACTAAATTTAAATATTATCTTATTAAACTAGCTTTTATTAAATTATATTAACTAAGTTAAAATATTCATAAATCTAATTTACATTTAATGTAAAAATTGAATAATAATTTAAGTAAACTTAACTTGATATTTTAAAATCAAAATATATTAATTGAAATATACTTATTAATTATTAAAAACTTGAATAACATTATAATACTAAATAAATATTTATAAATGAAGGTAATTTTATTACACTTGAAAACACTAAAATTACAATAAAATTAACTAAACAAAATAAATGTATGTTGAAATAAATGCTCTCAGATCTTATAGCTAATGTTTACAATGCTAAAAGCCTAACTATACTACCAGATCATCATCAAGCATATACCTAAATGATGCCAACATGTTTAATTATGGACAACTTTCTAGCTTTAAAAGAACATAATTAAACATGAGTAACTATTTAGATAAGAATTTATAAGGTTCTAAAATTGATTTAAGTCAGACCAACAACAATTTACAAGGCATCAGTGAGTAATAGACAGCAGCAACCGACAAGCATCAATGTACCAATTCAACAAGCATCATCAATGTACCAATTCAGCAAGCATCATCAATGTACCAATTCAGCAAGCATCGTTGCATCGATTCAGCAAGCATCCTACATTAAGAAAACATACAATCAGTAGTAAAGCCAAAGGGAATTCGATGGCCAACAATGCCAAACATTTTCGACTTTACCGAAACCCTTACAGATATCAAGTAGAAACAAGCAATATCAAAAACAAGCAATAACAAAAAGGAAATTCAAAAACAAAACCAACAAGTTGAGAATTATTGAACGAAGCTAGAATCTCAAATCAAAATTGTTCAACAAAGAAAGCGAACTCCAGGCACTGCAACAGACAAGGGCAGCTGCCGAGTAACATAGATATGAAGCAACAATTCACAGCCGTCTTCCACGTCTACCACCCTTTCTTCGGGTACTGTCAGTTGGAATAGGGGTAACATCCTCTACGGTAAAGAAAACGCTAAATGTCAGTTTACAAGAATTGAAACGAATCGACGTGATAAAGTGAGAGAAAAAAGATGATAGAACTGTACCTATGCGACCAATTTTCATGCCAGAACGTGCTAGAGCTCTAAGTACAGACTGGGCACCAGGACCAGGTGTTTTTGTCTTGTTACCTCCTGTAGCTCAGAGCTTTATATGAAGGGCAGTAATACCCAATTCCTGCAGATAGAAAAAATGAATACAAATATTTTCACTGCACTTAACAGTATATTTCACAAGAATTTCCAGGGTAAGCTAATAAAACCTTGCAGCGTTGAGAAACATCTTGTGCTGCAAGCATGACTGCATAAGGGGATGACTCATCTCTATCGGCTTTCACCTTCATACCACCTATGGAATAAATAAGTTGAAGAATTACTCCCCGCTAAAATAACTCTAGACCGGCACATGAACATGAAAGTATGTTGCACAGCTTAATTAATAATTCATAGAGTTCCAAATGCATTTTGAATTATTAGTCAGTGTACGTTGGAAAATCATTGGAGTTAGGCAGTTGACAAAACAAATTCAAAAATGGCAACAAACGTTCTCAGCGTAAAACCTTACCTGTGATGCGAACCATGGTTTCCCTTCCCGACAAATCAGTCACATGCTGTAAATTCAGTGATGGCACTTTAAACATAAAGAACAAGGGGAAAAAAAAAGAAGACCAATGTAAACAGAGCCAGATAGCTTACTATGAATGTGTCGTTAAATGAAGCAAAAATATGAGCCACACCAAAAACATGCTCGCCTTCTCGTACGGCAGGCCCAAGGGTAGTGTTATCTTCCTTCGGCTCTCGGACCTTTCTCCTCGACTACCAGATACCACAAATCCATGAATTACTTGGATATGCTATCTAAACCTAGATCAATAAATATGTCTTATACTAGTAAAACTAAACAAAAAAGCCCCAATGTTCCAATTCAATCTCAAAATCACCTTCAGCAAGAAATGCAATATTAAATCTAATACAATTAGAGAATGACTCTAATTCGTAATTTAAAGAAGTAAAAGGAAATTCACAGAGTTCATTATATTTTTACATTTGAACTGGAAAATCCCACTTTTTGTTCAATTTAATGTACCAAAAACATGATCCTTTTTTTCTCAGCTACAAAACAAAATTTAGCTTAACGAGGAAAAATCGTAATAGATGTAAAGAGATGCTTACCATGGCTTGTTAAATTAGGGTTTTCTTAGAGCGCTTTTACTGAGGACGATTCTAGAACCACAACCGCTCTGAGCTAGGGCACTCGCCTACAAGGGGAAGCTCGCGATCGTCACTCTGGAAATCAAACTTGAAGATCTCGAGATTCGTTGATGGACTGAAGGATAGATCCACGGCCCCATCCATCGTCCCAGCCGCCATGTACGGCGCATCCGGCGCCAGTGCCACGGACGCCGATCTATTCACCCCTTTTATACACGCCATTCGAATAAACGCAAGTTTTACAGTTCCCTATCCCCAAAATGCCTATCAATTCTTTTCTGTAGATACAGTAAGAAATAAACAAAGATCGAATAACAATTATGAATTAAGAGCGCGAATAGATATAATTTGGATGAAAACGATGAGAAAACCCGCGTTGGAGAAAAGGGAGGGAGATTTTTTCTGGGACTCAAGCGAGGAGAAAACCCGCGTATTTTTTAACTTCATTTAATATTGTAGCGTTGTCTCTTAGTTTTAAATTTATTCTATTTAGTCCAAATTTAATGATGTAATATATTAATTTAAGCTTCATATTTCAACTTTTTTTAAATTTAATCCAAATTTAATGTTACAATTTATTAATTTAAGCTTCATATTTAAAATTTGTTCAATTTGATCTTATATATTTTCTAATTCTTTCAATTAATATATATGTTTATATTAATAAATTAATATATAGTTTATATATACTATATAGTTTATATATACTAATGAACTATATAATATATAGTTTGTATATACCATATACTATATAGGTTATATATACTAATGAACTATAATATATAGTTTATATATACTATATAGTTTATATATACTAATGAACTATATAATATATAGTTTATATATACTAATGAACTATATATAATGTATAGTTTATATATACCATATAGTCAATATATGTTATATAGTTTATATATACTAATAAACTATGTAATGTATAGTTTAGGGTTTAGGATTTTTATATATAGTTCATATGTAAATTATACTATATAGTATATATAGTTTATATATATAATATATAGTATATAAATATAAACTATAGTATATATATATAGGTCATATGTAAACTATATAGTATATAAATATCAACTATAGTATATATATATAGGTCATATGTAAACTATATAGTTTATATATATAGTTCATATGTAAACTATAGTTTATATGTAAATATTAACTATAGTTTATATGTAAACTATAGTTAGTATATAAACTATATAGTTTATATGTAAACTATAGTTCATATATAAATATCAACCTTATATATATATTTATATATATAGTTCATATGTAAACTATAGTTCATATATAGTATATATATAAATAGTATATAATATATAAATATAGTATAAATATAATATATATAAATATAATATAATATATAAATATATATATATATTTATATAATATAAAATATATATATATATATATATACATATAATTTTATACATATTTATAATATATAAATATAAATTGTATAGTTTATATATAATTCATATATAATTTATATATAAACTATGTAGTTTCTTATAGTTAAATAGTTAATGTATAAACTATATAGTATTATAGTTTATACATGGTATATATAGTTTATACTTTATACATAATATATATATATATAAACTATATAGTTTTTATATATAATACATATACTTTATATATAAACTATATAGTTTATATTATATATATATCTATATTAGTTGTTTTAATTTTTTTCTCTCAACTTACTACTTATTTTTATTTATTAATTGGCCCATAACTTTTTAAATGAGTATAATTTAGTACATTTTTGTATTAATTTCAATCTCAAAATTTAAAATTATTTCGATTTGATCCCTTTTGTGTTGTTTAATATATTTAAATTTTTATTTGTAATTTCATATTTGTTCAATTTAGTCCTCCAAATTTTATTTGCACCTGAAATTGACTCATATTTATTACTTATTTCTATTTTTAAATTGGCCTATAACTTTTTAAATGGGTATAATTTAGTACTTTTTTGTATTAATTTCAACCTCAAAATTTAAAATTATTTCTATTTGATCCCTTTTGTGTTGTTTAATATATTTAAAATTTTATTTGTAATTTCATATTTTTTCAATTTAGTCCTCCAAATTTTATTTGCATATGAAATTGACCCATACTTATTACTTATTTCTATTTTTAAATTGGCCCATAACTTTTTAAATGGGTATAATTTAGTACTTTTTTATATTAATTTCAACATCACAATTTAAAATTATTTCGATTTGATCCCTCATCAATGTGTGTTATTTAATTTATTTAAATTTTTATTTGTAATTTCATATTTGTTCAATTTAGTCCTCCAAATTTTATTTGCATATGAAATTGATCCATACTTATTACTTAATTCTATTTTTTAATTGGCCCATAACTTTTTAAATGGGTATAATTTAGTATTTTTTTGTATTAATTTCAACCTCACAATTTAAAATTATTTCGATTTGATCCCTCATCAATGTGTGTTGTTTAATTTATTTAAATTTTTATTTGTAATTTCATATTTGTTCAATTTAATTCTTAAATTTGTATTTTTCATAAAATTGAACCATGATTATTTATATTCTTAGTAATTTACTCTAAATCATATACAATTACAAATTACAATTCAACGTTCGCGAAAGACGAAAATAATTAATCAAAAAATAAAAATTAACCTAATTTAAACTCAATCTGTATCTGATAGAGATCCGACTTGAATTTTATCTGCCAATGATGTGACTTGATCTGAACGAGATCCGCCTGAAGTCCATCCGAACCTGAATTAACCTGTTTTTTAACTGCTTCGGACCTGAATTGTTTTGACCTGAACTGGAAACGATTCAAACTAAAAATGACCTGACCTGAACCCGATCTGGATCTGGTGTCAAATCAACCTGAAAATAACCCGAACTGATTTGACCTGACCTGAGCCCGATCTGGATCTGGTGTCAAATTTACCTGACTTGACATGTATCTGATTTTACCCGACCTGCCAGGATCCGACTGAAACTTAAACGATTACCCGATTTTACAACCCTAGATCGAGTATAAGAAGATCGTACGTACTCATATTTCAACTTCCCCTCTTGTGCCAGGCGTAGAAGGTAATCGAGCATATCTCTGTGCTCTTTTGCTTTATCGGCACCTAACCATTTCTGTAGCCAGAATCCTCTCAAGGAAAGGTCCTGCAAATGGATAGGAGAACATGTGCTATTTTTCATAATTCGGAGGCCACCTTTTTTATTTTTTGTGAAAAAGGCTAATCCTTCATTACCTTGAAAATGAAGTGCGAAGTTGGTACGGTGATAGGCTTTTTGGACATTCCGCCATATGTTACCATAGTTCCTTCCTGCCTGAAAATTTGCATTCCCATGTTGGTTAGATTCTTACTACAAGAAAAATGTCCAAGGTCCTCAATGATTTATGCAGGGTGGTTGTCCGACCTTAAGAACCTGAGAACCAAAGAAGCGACATTTCCACCAACACTCAGATCAGAGATTTTTATTATTTCGTTGGCATGTATAAGCCAAACATATTTGACAGTCGACCGGACGATCTATCTAGAAAACTTGACTCAACCTAAGCTCTAATACCAACAAATGTAACACCCTCGACCCGTACCCGACCCGTACCCGACCTGGATACGATTATGAGGTGTCACATTGACTTTTCAATAGTTAAACTCTTTGAAAATCCGACTAAAATTTAACAATGAAAACAAATACTTAATATTTTTACTTAACCTTAATAAAACATAGTTACAAGACATATCAGAGCATTTACGATTTAACATTTATAATACATGCTAATAAAATTTCAAATAACAAAATCACATACTATTCAAATCATTCTGATATGATATTCATCAAAGATATGTTGTCATGTCCTTGCTTACTCTGTTGGCTTCTCTGAACCTATGTGTGAAAACACTCACACGTTAAGTTTTTGACTTAGTGAGGCATAATTGAGTAAAATAAAACATTAACCATTTTCTTAACATTTCAGGAGAACATTTAATACGAAAAACAAGATACATTCCCTATATATATATATACTGTTATTCACTGATCAATTCGTATTAATTTGTTTAAAGAGCCCAACGCATATCACTGAAAACTCAAGGTATGCGAGTACTTTGAGGTTGTGCACTATAATTGCAGTCGAAACTGACGCATAGAATTTGCACCGAAGTGCCACATAAATTTGTCCCGACGGACCGCGTAGAATTGTCCCGAAGGACCACATAGAATTGTCCCGAGAGTCTGCGTTGAACCCTGGACTCTTGGCATGCCAATTATACCTCTAATTCTCATAGCACATACTTTGGGCTTTAACCATATAAGTGCTCACATAACATTATTGAAATTGTCATTTATTCACGTAGAACATATACGCATAATATTTCACATAGCATTATTCAAATTAACGTTTATTCACATAAAACATATACGCATAGCAATGAAATCAAAACAGTGCTTTTTGAAATATGATTTATGTAAAACCATAAAATTTTATATAAATACTATTCAAAATTCTATTTTAGTTAATAATCCTTGGAAGTTAACTTATCAGAAGTCTTCTTCCCTTGTATTAATACATTAAAGTAGTATGCACTCACCTTTGCCTCAGTTAAGTCGTAAACAAAACCCTTTTCACTTTCACTCAATATATTTCTACATCAATTCGTTCAACACATGCTTTCGATTGAATCTAGACGTTAACATAACCAAGATGAATACTGGAGCTCAAATAAATTGTTAACCAATCAGCATTTACATAAATAAATAAAACACCTAATTTGAAATTTCAAACTAAACAATATCGATACTCTACACCTAGTACCAATACTTCCCTTCTATGATACCTATACTTACTTCAATATCGATACCCAAATTGCATTATGGAATGTCCTCTTCAATTACAGTATCGATACCTTACTATGGTATTGATACCCCAATATCGATACTACCTCTTCAGTATCGATTATGTTCATCCGATTCATATAGTATCGATACTGTTCTTCTAGTATCGATACCCTTGCCCAGAATTCACTTATTTCATTTCTAATTTGACCCAAAACTCATCTAAATCTCATACTTCTAACTCCATTTATGCCCTTAAACTCAATAATCACAACCAACTTATATCAATTAAATTCCCTTTAACATCCAAAATTTTCACTAGAACACTTAAAACTAAAAATCAACCCTATTCTTCAAACTTATATCCAATCCTTTCCAATACTTCAAATAACTTATCCAGACCTTTGACAAGTCAAATATACCTTTAAAATCCAAATACTAACTAAATTTCATCAACTCCCTAAAAACCCATTTTACCAAATTATCATTAACTCATCATTCTCATAGTTTTTAATCATCTTTAAGCTTTCTTAAGTTTCTATACTACCCAAAAATATCAAAACCAACTTAAAAAATAAAAGAAACAACCAATTTTACGATTACTCACCTTAGCATGGAGGTTCATGGTGAAAAAAAGGAAAAAGAGAAGACGAAGAGAAAAGTTCTAGGCATTTCTTTCCTTTTCTTCACATGTTATATAACCTTAAAATGAATTTTAAATTCATTTCATGTCAAAAGACCATTTTGCCTTTCTATTATTCAATCTTTGATAATTAATCCTAAACAAAAATTTCCAACTCAATCCTTGAATATTTCAGTTTATCAAAATCAAACCACTAAATTTTGAATTCTTATACTTTAGTCACTGACCTGATGTTTGGGATATTATAATTACAAAAATTTCCAAATCAATCCTTGAACATTTCAATTAATCAAAATCAAACCACTAAATTTTAAATTCTTACACTTTAGTAACTGACCTGATGTTTGGGATATTGCACACCAGCTGATATTACACTTACTATCAACATGCCAAAAGTCGTCCCCTTTCAGAACATATGCACGGACCCAAGCCACCTAAAGAGAGCCTTCACTAGCAAGCAAGTCCCTAATAAGTTGTATTATACACGCCCTATTCTAGCAAGAAACATCCTTAAGACCCAAACCACCTTCAAACTTCAAGGAACAAACTCGCTACCAACCAACCTTTACAACCCCAACACTAGAATCATGCCCCTTCCAAAAGCACCTCATACATAATTGATTGATTATCTTAATCACAACCAAGGAAAGAATTAACTACCTACACCAAAAGTTAGCAATGCCCATCAGCGCCAATCTGATAAGTTGAAGCCTTCCAGCATAACTCAACTTCCTGTTCCCCCAAAGCCTTAACATGTCTTTGATCTTGTCCACAAGAGGCAAACAACCCCTCTCAGTGAACTTACGGGTCACCAGAAGGATATCCAGGTAACAAACCGTCAAATTTCCAAGTTTAAACCCAGATACTCTGCGAATAGACCCCAATTAATTCACAGGAACACCCGACGAGAATAAATCACTTTTAGTTGCATTAATCTTGAGCCCTGACATCAAATAAAAACAATTCAATATACATTGAACCCCCACGACCGAGTCCAAAGTACCTTTGCAAAATACTAACAAATAATCTGTAAAGCTCAAATGTGTGAGTCTAACATTCTTACACTTCGGATGGAACTGAAACACACCCGCAAAGGAAACCAAATCAAGAATACGAGACAACACATTCATAGCAATGACAAACACATAAGGGGAAAGGGGTCCCTTTGCCTGATGCATATATCACCTTTGAAATAACCTACCAAACTACCATTGAAAGCGATGGAAAACGAGGAAAAGTAAGACAAGCCCTAATCCACCCTCTAAACACCTCTGGTAACCCCATAGAATCTAACACATTTAAGATGAAATCCCAACTCAACGAGTCGAACACCTTTTGCAAGTCAACCTTAAGAGCCACCTAGGGAGAGAGAAACTTCTTACCATACCCCCTAACCACCTCATGAGCCAACAGGGTGTTTTTCATAATAGACCGACGCTTGACAAAAGCAGTCTGATTAGCAGAAATCATTTCAGGGAAGTAGCAAGCCAACCTATCAACCAAAACCTGAGTAACAGTTTTATAAATCACTAAGCAACAAGAAATGGGTTGATAGTCCTTTTCCATATTCAAGTTCGAAGATTTAGGAATCAATAAAATGGTGGTCAAATTAAACGCAATATTTATTGAGGAAGAAATGAAAAAAATATTTAATAGCCTCCAAGAAGTCATCCCCAACAATAGACCAAGCCACCTTGAAAAAATAGGGAGTTAAATCATCAGGTGGAGGGGATTTATTATTCCCCTGACCAAACATAGCAGCCCAAATCTCCTCCGTTGAAACCCCTCGGTTTAAAGCCTCAGCAGCCCCATCAGGCAGAGAGTACTGAATAATACTATAAAGAGTGGCAACATCACACCCTTGAACACAGAATCACGAGCACCATTAAGAGAGGTAAAGAAATTGCAAATCTCAGCAGACATATCACCAAAAGACTCAAGCTTATTCCCTTGATCATACCAAAGAGCCCGGATAGTATTAATCTTATGCCTAGCTGTAAGAGCTGAATGAAAGAAATTGGTAGATTGATCCCCTTCTTGCAACCATCTGACCTTAGCCTTCTTCTTGTAAAACTGAGCATCCACCCTTTCAAACTCATACAAATCATCTTACAAAACTCGCTCATGAACAACATCAACATTACTGCCAGAAAGATTTGAACTATGTAACTCTTCTAATTGAATCTTCTTCGCATGCACCCTTGAGGATATATCCTCGAAATGAACTTTATTAAAGGCCCTCAAACAACCTTTAAGCCTTTTTATCTTCAAGAAATGAACATAAAGAGGGCTTTTACTCGAGACAGGTTCCATCCATGAATGCTCAACTACAACCAAGAAAAAAGAATGTTCAACCTAAAAGTTAAAAAAACTTGAATGGCTTTGGCCGGTACGCCTGACATTCTTTATCAAACCAAACAACAGTTGGGTAGTGGTCTGAGGCACCTGGAGCCTGGTACTCAACAAACGAATCACGAAACACATACATCCAAGGGAAATTAACAAGCACTTTATCAAGCTTCTTAGCCAAGAAAACACTTTCTTGCTTGTTGGACCAAGTATACAAAGGCTCGAAAGAAGGATGATCAACCAACGAAAGATCCTCCAAGCAGTCTTGAATGTCCCTCATATCAGACATGTCACGGAAATCCATTACATCAAAATCAAAAGACCCCTAAGATCCAAGAGTGACATTAAAATCACCCCATATAATATAGGGAGCTGAATCCGCCAAATCAACCACAACATGAAGTTGCTGCCAAAGAAGCCTATAAGTTCCCCCACATTACTACCATAGACAACAGTGATGAAGAATTTTACAATATTCATAACACCACTAATAGTAGTAGACTGATCAGCAATATTGCACAAATGACCCTTGTCTAATAAGAAATCATTCGAACAACATAACCAATTAGTAAATTGAGAATCAAAGATTTCCTACTTATTGCTAACCTTTACCCTGGTTTTCAT